CGATTCATTAAGTTTTAGGAGTGAACCACTGAACTTTAGAATATTAATGTATCAATTACACGCAACACTGAGTCAAAACTCGACAAATGTATTCAACTTAAATTTTTACAGCTTTCTGCGATTTCTAACTCTTTTCCTACCATCATCCACTCAGTGTAATAATTATTACAASTGGTACATTCATAATTTACTTCTCGCTACAAACTCTACGCCACGTCTGTCATTAGTGTCATGACCAGTCCTCATACCTGATTCTACGAGCCGTTGAATTGTTGCCAGTTTGTCCTTGCAGAGATGACAATATTAAAACTCTCATTAGACAGTGAGGGGTCAGAAAATRGCTCAATGAATAGCCCACTCATTTAAGTTGTTGAGGGCCGATTAAACACAGATTAACGCCGTAAGCAACCAGCTGTTTGCACAATCACAGGTGTAATAAACACTGAAGTCATAGTCCGGGGAAGACTGAGGCGAATAGACAAAACACGCACCTGAMGTTTACGTGAACTACTGCGTGAAACGTGTACGGACGCGACGGTCAGCACTGTCAGTTTCATATACGTACATGTTCTTAATAAACTTTGCGATTYATAATTATTCGACTAACGTCAAAGTTATGAAGTAATAATGATTGATGACAGGGGAAGGAAAAAAGTTTGATGGACGAACTCAAACGAATAGGAAAAAAATTTGAAAGTTAAACAAAAACGAATGAACGACGCAMGCAGAAATCAATAAATAACAACCAAAGAAGCTGGAAACGAAGGAAGTGAAGTAAAGATGAACGAAAAATTGAGGAAATCGAAAGTATCAATAAATGAACGAGCGAATGAATATTGAACGAATGTGAACAAGAAAAAAAATTGATCGAGCGAAAGGGAATCAAGATCGAAAGGAAGAAAGTRCACGCACTCTTTCATAGTCAACCGCAAGCAGTTCTGATATCATGGCTTTTCATAAACAATTCCTGATAAAAAAAAAGTCAAATAGCTTCACGGGGCTCCTCGTGACAACGATATAGGAAGAGGGTGCCGCACGCAAATCAGAAAATATTTCCAATAATGGCAATCTCTATTTGGTGGTGGTTCTAGGAAAATGAGGAATTTCGCTGTGGTCCAAAATAAATAGATTTGTAGCTTTTTCGAAAAAAATCACGATATTAAATAGTCATAATTTTAAATAATGCAGTAAAATGAATTTTATTCTCAGAAAATAAAGATTATTGCGATTTGATAAAACAAATATTTAAACCTATTGTCTAAACGGGCCTTAAAATAAAACTAAAACAGGTCTTYGCACGTAAACTAATGTGCAAGTCATCGTTTTCATTCTCGCTAAATCAAGGGGCAAGTCCAGGCTTGAGATACTAAGAACTGGCTATTTCTTACAGCGCTTGTGATTGGGCGAATCAGATAATTGAGTTCAAKACTCATTTGTATGGCGCCCTGTGATTGGTCAGTTCTAAAAGAGATTTGGCGCAAAATATTCAATTACGTTTGTATTTAGGCTCTATCGTTCATGATATACACATAACCGAAAGGGTTACTTTTTCGATTATTGTGGTAGATAGTTTGTATTATCGTGATGTCTTGGCCTTTGAGTATACGGGAAAAGGCCAAAATGAAGCATGTACTACTTACTAAGCAAGCCAAGAATATGAAATCAAGAATGGTTGTTCGTATCTCGGCTGAAGCACATCAAGGCGGCCGAAGGTACATGGAGGACCTAACTTTAACTCTTCACGAGCGTGTCAGGGTTGGAAGGGATATCGGTCAATGTTATATTGCTGTTTATGATGGCCATGGAGGTTGTGAGGCGGCTTATTTCGCAAGGGGAATGCTGTGGAACACGATCAAGAAACAACGAGGTTTCTACTCGAACGATCCAGCTCATGTCGTAAAAGCTATCAAGGAAGGATTTCTTGCTACTCACCGAGCGATGTGGAAGCAGTTAGGTAAATTATTTTATTACTAGACTGCTTTAACCAATCACAYTTTCAAGGTTAATCATTTTRAAGTAAAGTGTGTTTTGTTTTTGTAAAGAATTTCGACTCAGATGACGCGATCCACTGATTCGTGAGATTGAAAAATAACGATTGTTCGCTCTCTTCGTCTCGCCTGATTCTTGTATATTTAAGTATAGAACTTAAATCTAAACTAGGAAATGTTTAGTCCAGAGAGTAGTAAGTTTACTTTTAAATCAGAACCAAATCTCCTACAAATTCACCCCAAAATACTTYTTTTGCAACGAGCGATAAAAATTCAAATTTCGAGCGTGAGCTGGTGTTTGAGCAAATACATTGAAATAAAAGATATGCAAATTGCATGTGYCGCCATCACTCAGGGGGAACACGTCGGATCATCTTTCTTTCGTCTATATTTCCAACGGCTACAACCACATCAGCAGGAAAGTTCACCGTTYAAACCATGGGATCATTTCCGGAAGTTATCAGTAGACTTAGTGTTGTCAATCAGCTCTAGAATGGTTTTCAATGACGTACATGGCTTTATATTTTCTTCGCAGTTGAATACAATTTTATCGTTGAGATTATAAGATTCGATATAAAATTAGAATTCTCAGAACCAACGGCGGACGGATGTATAACATTGTTTTCTATTTGTGAACAAATTCTATTTAAAAATATATTTCGTATCCCAGTTTAGTAAAATAATTCCTGGAAATTGTTTGTCTTAAGTTATATTACAGTGAATTTTAGTTTGTATTAGGTTAAGTTCATGCATGACACCCTTTTCTATGCTACCATGGCACAATAAATCACTTGAGTAATTGTTTTCTTTTATGAAAAAACTTAAGAATTTGCATAACAACCCTTACAAGGTCTTACAACAATCAACAGAATTAACATATAAGGAAAATGGCGGGATTTTTTAGATGTATTGGTTGTGAAGGACGATTCCCTAACCCGTTCATGTTTCCTCAGATAAATGGCCGAAAACCCGCCATGGACTACCAAGTACTTCAGGCACCACTGCCGCWGTTGTTATAATTCGYGGAAGAAAAATGTATGTTGCCCATGTCGGTGACTCGGGGGTTGTACTGGCAACACAAAGTAACTACGATAAGTCAATAAGAACTAAAGCCATTACAGCAGATCACAAACCAGARTCTCCCAAAGAAAAAGAGAGAATCGAAGCTTTAGGGGGTAAAGTTCTTGCACGAAATGGCGTACATCGTGTGGCCTGGGAGCGACCGGTTTTTYTAAAACACAGGGGACCAATAAGGAGAAGTACCAAAACTGAATTAGTACCCTTTTTAGCTGTTGCTAGATCTTTAGGTAAGTTTGTTCTGCCAGCTGAAACGCTATTTAAACGCCAAACTTCACACATGCTGAATTCAAAGCAGAAAAAAAAAACAAAAAACGGATTGAAGTAGTGCCCATTCGGAACACGTGAGATTCGACATTTGAAAGCGGCTTTATATACTTGCCGACCAATGAAAAGCGTAATTCTTTCATATTTGTTTATGTACCGCGCTTGTGTTTGATATCCGAATTACCCGCTTTCCTCAAACTTAACCTTTTTATTTCACGTATATTATAGGAGATTTGTGGAGTTTCGACTATTTTCATGGCGAGTTTATGGTGTCTCCAGTCCCAGATGTCAAAGTATACAACATTAATCCGGGTGTTGATAAGTTTATCATCGTAGCGAGTGATGGATTATGGGGTGTGGTACGACCGGACGAAGCTGTGCGGTGTGTAAACGAGGCAATCAAAGATGTCAGTGAACCTTTGAATGTCGACGTGTCTCATAAGTAAGTGAAACATACAATCGTTCTGACTCTTTAGGGGAGGGGARGGGAACRGGGTTATCCAATCGATTAGCTCAAAATAGAGCATGTGATAAAACACAGAATTWTAAAGAGACCTTGAATTAAGAACCAGGACAGACCCCTTTTATTTATWTTCAGTGTAAACGGGACRGCGACAAAACTATACAGGCAAACCATATTCACGAGGAATAAATACCAAGCCTGTCCGTGCTACGGCATAATACACATTGTTTTATGAAACCAAAGGGCACGTGAAAATTGAAACTATTTCACATTCAGTTCTCSCACTGTCTTGAATTTGCGCTTAAATAACAAATCTTTCTTCTTTTTTTCTATCAGAGTGGTGGCTTTAGCAATGTCTCGGTGGAGRGAGCAAAAATTACGTGCAGACAATACAAGCGTCATTGTTGCTTTCTTTGAAGAAGGAGGCACTCATCCGTGTCACCCTAAACCCGTACCTACTGGYGAACAAGCCTCAACAGAATCTCAAACAGACACCGATACCGCTTCTGAAGTCAGCGTTGAAACGCCCCGCACRCTTTCTCCGTCKGGAGCCGTGGAGCCTCAAGACTCCGATMGACCGGCTCTCGTAAGGACAATGGCGTTCAGATACAGTGARCCRGAGCAAAATTCACAAACACCGTTTATTCCTATAGAAGAATTCCCGCCTTGCATAGCACAAGAGGTCACAGTATCTTGTAYGGAATAAAAATAGCAGTCGCTTTGGTGATGATCGACGCCTTGCAATATCTTTTATTATTTAAAATTGGCACATTTTAATTAATAAGAAAGTCTGTGACTTTTTTAGAACTGAAACCGTTCTGGAATTTGTAATTTATTGAGTTATAAATGGTGTACATAGGTTTTTATATATAACTGAATCTGAAAGTATTGCTATTTGCAACGAATTATTATCAGCGAACAATTTTGAATGAAGCTGTTTTATACTGTCATATTCATCGTTCATAGTCAAAAACATAGAATTGCGTTCACACCACTGTACAGATAGTTTGCGAAAAGGATAAATACAAAATTAAAGATTTTAAAAGATTTTTGCGTCGAGATTGATCATAGCTTGACCCCATTTCTGCGTGTTGGGGGTCGGTTGGGGGTCACAACCCTTCCAAAAGAAAGGTTTAAATGCAAGAAATCGATATTTATTAAAGTAATGTCTTAAGGTCTGACCTACTGAGCAATAAAYCCCAAGTTCGGGATGCAGCCAAAAGGCCCGTTTACACTTGCGATTTTTGCAGCGCGGTTGCCGCGCGTCTCGCACCTCAAATCGTACGTGTAAACAGCCCTGCGATTTTTGATCGCCGTGAGTTGCAGCTAAATTTCAAGCATGTTCGAAACTAAGCCGATTGTCGCGCGACAATCGCACTGCAAAAATTGCAAGCGGGCCTAAAGGAATAACCCATGAACGTTCGTTTTATGGAGGGGAAAATAAAGCTCTGGATTCAACTATCTAATACTCGCATCTAAAAAAACTCGAATGCTTGGCCGAACTTTACAGTCAAAGCCAGCACCGGTAAATTTATAAGACAACGAACTGATCATGAACTTTATATTTTATTGCTTGGATATAAATTGACATGTTTATATTATCAATAAGGAATACGGCAAAACTTGTACCACCGTTCACTGATAAGAATGGTTAGTTCACTTTCGTGTGAATTGTATAGTCCGATATTGATAAATAGTAAGCATTCTTATCACGATAACCTGATGTTACAAGCTTATATTAACAGAAGTATGTCCCTCGATCAGCTTTTAAAAATGGAGTGTTTGCTTTTTCTTGAGACATGAAGCATTTTACTGACCCCACAAGGTTTAGTGTCCATAGAATCATATGGATCATGCCGGTCGCAAGTAACCGTACACGTTTGTTCTAATTGGGACGACTATATGGACACGTCGAAAGGTAACTGAAAACATTGCRCTCAACATGACAGATTCAAATTTCATAGATTGGTAACCTTTTTTTTTTCGCCAAAAACCGCAAACCCAAGGTGCATTGCGGTATAGCTTCAGCCCACGTGAAGCAAGACCAGAATGCAATTGTAGAAAGCGAACAATAATCACGAAAGAATAACAATTAACCTTGCAAAGGATGAATTGTGAAAATCAATTGCTTTGATAAAGATTTTGGAGAATATTGTTTTGTATTTATAAATCATGACAGTATACCAGATCTACTCTCAAATACCTTTACAGCAAACAAGTCTAATTGAAAAAGTAAACTACTAATGCTTTAAATATTTCTAAAAAAAATTAAATTAAGCGACTAATTTGTCTGTACAAGGAATACATAAGTATAGAAATATTATATATAAGTGAATAATTTTATGCAAGGGCGATTAAAACCCATTGAACCGGTTTCAGTAAAATCATTTGGAATTTGAGTAAAATCATGAAGTAGCAAAACAAAAACCGAAAATAAGTTATCGTTGTTATACATAAATATCATTATGACATCACATTACAGCAGAAGTTTATGTTGAAGGTTATTTAATCTTATGTTGGAAAAGAAAGATTATTAAACTGATGCCAATGAGCAGCGACCATTTTGGCAAAGGATATCTCAAACAAAGGAAAACAATCCAACTAAAGTCTACTAGAGCGGTTTTCCTACGAGTGTGAAAAGAAAATGACTGTGAACTATTTGTTGTCTGTTTTATTACATTCCAAGGAAACCCACTCTACTAGTTCATTGTAAGTCACACATTTTCCTCTGCTACTCGACACTACTCTCATTTGTAAGAGTCGACCACGTGACGCGATAGTAACTGCCGCTCCAGAAAATTTTGTTGTTGAATAATAAAATCAAAAAGCAGTTGAAATCGCGGACATTTTGCTGTGATAGTTTCCCTTGGAAGCTGGATGCGTTCTTGGGCAACTATTTGTTTTTCGGAACGACCTTTTTCTGTTTGCAACGATCACTGCATAATGCCCTCGTTTCAACTACTCTCTTCTTCTACAAACTGTTTCATAGTCTATATGTAATTACTACATAATAAACTCCTGTTTTGAGTCCAAAGAGTATGGAGTGCTTCCATTAGTTAAAATGTTTCTGAATGAGAATAAAAATGGCGAGATGACAAATATCCTTTATTGATGAATTGAGCGTTTGAATTATCATGAATGATGACAAAAAAATACTGTAACTGGACAACCGGAAAACAGAAAACATAAAAAAGGAGAAAATATTGATAGTAAAACGCGCAGGAGAACGACAGTACGCTATGCGCGGCGACGTCATTTCGTCATGCAAGGCATGATGGGTGGYGTACACTCTGCACTGTTCTAGGTCCACTTTAAATATAAAATAAAATCTRTTTCCTCTACACAAATGCAAGTCTGACGTTTGTGTGAAGGAAGAACAAGACAGATTTTGGGAAAATTTTATSCCGAGGACTAAATCTCCCAGCATGCTTTGCTGTACAAAATGCTGTCGCAACACATTGCCTTTTATAGAGGTTTTTTACGACTACTAATTGAAATAATGCATAAGAAAGAATGCTTCCTTTGAAAATGTCATCAAGGGTATAATATAATGTATTCCGATCTTCAACGTGGCTGCTGTCTCGAGACAATAAAAACATCTCTGTATGTAATGCCCGGCTAAATATTGCATAATAATAAACTTTATACAAAAATTTGTAAACTGAATAGAATTTCATAAAGCGGCCTGAAGCAATTCTGTTTTCAAAATAAAACAGCAGTGATGCCACAATGATATAAAGAAAATCTTATAAGGTGCTAATTCCCCRCCCTCCCCTCCCCTTTCCCAATATCAATGTTGCACAAGATAATAATTAAATACCACAAACGCGGGCATTTACGTGAGGCAATTGTTCGTGATTATAAGTGACCATTTTGATCTTCTTGAGAAGAGACATGTGTATCRTTCCCAAGAMATGAACGRRTCTTCTACTTTCATGGCCACACGAGATGGTACACATGACGATGTAACGCATTCCCAGCATGCTTTTTAATCTGTCTTTTGTTTGTGGTGATGTACGTTGTTTGAAACTGGAAGACAGCAAATGTAGGTATCAAACATAGCAATGTCGACATTTTAAGGAAATATTGTTWATTTCTAATGAAAGGGTTTCTTTTATAAGGAAAACAAAGCGTTAAAAAAGATATTTATGGGATAGAGTGAAGTAAAAAAAACCCCGTGAAATAGATATTTCACTAATACACCTTAGTAACTGACTATCACACTTCAATAGTCACATTTTGTTTCACGGGTTTAATGACTTMACTCTAAAACAGATATCAAATTAGTTACTTACCACTTAGCCTTCTCGAGATAAATTTTAAAACTTCGTCTAGTAAAATGACAGGGAATGATAGYTTGAGAACAGCCATCCACTCTACCCAGTTCAGAGGTGTTATACGGAAGATTGTCTAAAATACACATAAATATCAAATGAGCCAACATTGTAATAATTATTATCAAAGATTGCTTTTCAAAAACTCTATACAGCCTTTTGCAAAAATTATGAGAATTGTTGAAATATCTAAATATCATAATATCGAGTGCATGATGGGTAATCCCGCGCGATGCCCTTAGTCCCTTGTCTTTGTAGTTTAGTTTTTTTTTTGGCGACAAACTTATCCGTAGTTCTGAACATTCTCGATGTCAACAATGAATTATTCTAGCAAACCCTCGTGTTCCAGACAATATATGGATATGGATATTATGATATTTAGATATTTAGACAATTCTCATAATTTTTGCAAAAGGCTGTACATGGTCTCCTCTCGCAGCCGTTATGAGGTTCGTTCCCAGGTCTCTCAAGTGGGAAGAGAGYTGGGAACGAGCCTTATAACGGCTGCGTGAGTAGACTAGGCTATGCATAGTTTGAGGAAAATGTGATAAATATAAGAATATTGCATTGAAATTGCATACTTACATTACAAAATGGTACAAAGAGGATAAAGAAATGCATGGCAAACGATGCAGTAATAGCGACTAGCAGTGAAGGGTTTTTCCATGGAGGCATTGTCAACAAACTTTGGTTTTCTGTTAAACTAAAGATATCAACAAATATTGCATTAAAAAATTATGAAAACAGGCACGATGTACAGTGAGGTGACGATAAACACAGTCAGTTTTGATTTGTTCATCAGTTGGATGACACAGGGTCTGTCAAGTTTAAGTCAAARCACAATTGCTTAATTTTCAGGAAGTTTTTTCGGGAACTCCACACCACTGATTCAATATTAACATTAAGAGGGATGAACAAATACAAGATTTGTTAAAGCTGCCAACGGAATTGTAGCAAAACTTATCAAGTTCAATTAATATATTCCACACCATGACTTCTTTAATGTTAACGATAATRTTGTTGATCAAAGTGATTGGATGATTAAAAAYAATGTYAGTGAAAGYGATRCYGAGWRRCGKTAGTGACATTTCTTACCTGTTAAGGGCGTTCAGCATTTCTATGGTAACAAGTACAGATAAAGCCATAGTCATGGGATGTAAATCACCAAATATAGCACAGTTAACACCRGCAAAATTAGTAGGATCATTAGGACACTGCATATGATGAGTCTAAAAGAAAGAGAGCAAATGAGAACCACTACTACTCCATGTAAACTAACTGAAGATGATCAAATATTCTAGAGTGGTTTTCATAAACCCGTGAAACAAAGTGTAATAATTAGAGTGTAATAGATCGTAATAGTCGCGTAGAGACTAAAAAACAAAAGAGCCAAAGTGTTATGGCGATAAATACGCTAAAGTGTGTTTCACGGGTTAATGAAAACCAATCTAAAGGGAAAATGATCACATACTATAAATGATCTAATAAACGCCCCCTTTCTAATGAACGCCTACTATCTAATGAGCGCTCCCCTTATGGTTACAAGTTTGTATTAAACGCCCCTCGCTAACAAACGCCCCCTGTCTATTAAACGCCCTCCCTCCTCTCCGTGTCACCATCCATCACTAGAAACAATTTTTAAAAACGACTTAGGATAGGAATTCCGTAAATATAAATCAATTTAATTGTCTTTTTGCTTCATAAACGCCCCCAGCGTTTATTAGATCATTTACGGTAGGCAGTTAGTAAATCTTTTTGTTAAAGTTATTTTTTTATGTTCTAATGTACCATTTCTGGCATTTATGGAAAGATTATTATTATTATCATCATATTTCATAGATCACCTAATATTCAACAATGAAAGATGATTATGTCTTCTAATTTAGTTGATCAACTATTCCACAAGACAATTCTTACCAGCTGATAGAAAGTCATCTGTGGTCCACCATCATAGAACATAAACCACCATGCCGACGCCCCAACAGTAGCCACACCCACATAAACACCAATGGCAAGATATCTGAAGAACAGCCAGCCACTAATTAAAGGTTCCTTAGGAGATCTTGGTGGTTTCTTCATGATTTCTGTGTCAGGGGGGTTGAAGCTTAGTGCAGTTGCAGGGGGTCCATCAGTCATGAGGTTAACCCATAGAAGTTGTACAGGGATAAGAGCTTCTGGCATTCCAAGCGCAGCTGTAAGGAATATGCTGAAAACACAAAAAATATTCCACATCAATAATGTCTTTCTTACTTTTCTAAACACACTGCTGGATAAATTTGAAAACAGAACTCTATTTATCTTATTATGGCTACAACGCTCTGCATGAACCCCAAAAAACTGCATCACATTATGATGGCACAGCRTGCTTACAGTGGGGTATAGGGAAACAGTATCTGAAAACTTGCAAAGGATATTTAGACTAAATCCTCTCTTTGCAAATRTTGAACTTTAAAAAAAGTAATTATTTTCACCAAAGTATCAATGATGCTTGTCTCATTTTATAGTWTTCTCATTCTTCTTTTTTTCTCTCTATCAAAACAATACTCCAATTTCGAGTTCTGGTTTGCTCTGTGTTAGCCTCAAAACGAAGTAACATATTCTTTTGTTTCATTGATAGGCCGAGAAAACGCATGGAATTTGAAAAGAAAGACAATAGATTTGATATGAAATCTCACACTTTTATTCTCACGTCAATTACGAATATTTTACGCACAAATTAGGCTATCACAGAGCATTGGAGAATTCAAAACTGGATTATTTGTCCTGTTTTTCTATGAGTTGCCATCATGCAGTGACATATCCAGGATATTAATSCAATCATAATACTTAGCATTTAATATTTTGATGTTACTATGGTTAGGGCAATACTTAACTGAAAATGAAACATTTTGTTTGTGTGGACAACAAACATTTTATTTGGTTTTAGTGTCAATTTTTCTGGTATTATTTGGACAAAGTATTCTYATTTGGTTTTCCTCACCTGACTACTTCACCAATATTTGACGAGATAAGATATCGAATAAACTGTTTAGTGTTGTCATAAATAGATCTCCCTTCTTCTACTGCTGCCACAATGGTCGAGAAATTATCATCAGCTAAAATCATTTCTTTCAAAGTGGTTAAGGATTCATACATCAAGAGATATGTAAGACATTTATAAGCCATTTGTAAGCTTTGACAGTACCATACCTATTATTATAAAGTCATGTTATTTAAAACACAACTGCACTAAAAAGGTCTCTGAAAAAAGCGAGGGCATGATGCCGTACAATTTCGTCAAAATTACAGTGCTTTTCTYTTTCATTACTTTTTTCATTTCACTTTAATTTGCTTTTAACCATTTGGCCATATTTACTCCAATGTAAAATAGTGAATAAATGAAAATAGTTTCATATATGTGCAAGATGCATCAACATCCTGAAAGTGATCAGATATTCAACACCTTCCTTGAATTCAAGAATACAAATGGGGTATGAAGACCAGGAGATAAACACAAAGAAGACCTCTATGCTTACACTGGAACAACATACTGATCCAAGGTATTCTAGAACCCTCAGAGAATGGATTGACTTTTACATCATTTCACTTTAAAAATACACTGGATAAATACACAGAGACAGTCTTGTTTCCAAGCGAATATTTTCAATAATAATAAACAACATGCAATTATTATGCTTAAACTGATTGTATCAGTCTGAAGAAAATGCTTGAGAAAAGGTTTAATGAAAAAAACCCCGACAATTTAGAGAAAGCCAAAACCACAGTAAAACGTTCCTAAAATTGGGAGCTTTCATTTCAAATGCTACATAGTCATTTTCTGAACTGTCAATAATCTGAAAGATGCTATTATTGGCAAAAGCACATGTTTTTCAACCTCTATAACTTGTCAGTTTACATAAAAGGAGTAATTCAAAGCCACGTACAAGAAGAATCCCTGAACACACTGAACAAAAACATGATGCTATGATGTAATTATTATTTAAAGGATACCAGAGGCAGACTTAGCAACYGCTGTCCCACTTCCCATAGCAACACCAATCTCAGCCTTCTTGAGAGCAGGAGCATCATTGACACCGTCACCAGTCATAGCAGAAATCTCTCCTTCACCTTGTAAATACTCTACTATTTTACTCTTGTGAGATGGTTCTACTCTTGAAAACAATCTGGAACAAGAATCTAAAAAAATTAGTAGATGTGGGGGAGTCATCAAACCAGACCGGGCCAGCACCAGGCTACTGCATATTTGTGATTGGTTGCCTACATTGCATGCAGTGATATGTACACATCATTTTTCTTTTCTTTTTTTACCAATGTTTGTTCCAGGAAGGCAGTGTTTCTGCACCACTGAGTCAGGAAATGTATGTAATCCTACATATTGCTATCTACAGATTGCAGAACTCACACATACCTAGCATCCAAACAAGCTCTTCTCTGACCCTCAGGACTAAGATCGTCAAATTCTCTACCAGAGAATGAAAGTCCTACAGCAACAAGAAAAGTTGTTATCAATAAAAGTTTCATAAAAACCTTGTTTGACTTTACTTTGAGCATCAATAATTCACTAAACATGGTTACTACATGTATTAATGTAAAAATATAACTAGGTYTTTACCCTCAGTATCTTCATCAGGTCCAAAGATCTTGATTCTCCTACAAATAGCTTCTGCAGTTGACTATAAATGAAGGG